ATAGTCAAAGAGTATAATGTGTATATCTGCTGTGTGTATGTGTCTATTGAACAGTCTGCCTGCCTGCAGAGCAGCCCAGATTATGCATGCATCAGGCTGCTTATCAGCTGACCTTTAAATTGGAGCCGCAAAGCGAACGCAGGCCCAAGGGCTAACGCTCCCTCCTGATTGGCTGCTCCGCCTCAGACCTGCTGACAATAGAAATTAACAGAGCCAAGTGGGCATATCCGCAGGCACAAGAGGCGTAGGGGTGAAGAGAGATGGGGACTGCATTAATATAGAAATGTATTTTTGCAATTTTTGTCTCTTCTTAAGCTTGGGGAGAGAGGGAAAAAGTCATTATGTGCTGTGAAGCATGCTAACGGTGGAGCAGGTAAGAACAGACAAGCCCGGTATTACCTGGATTTCATCTCACGCTCACTCATGATATCTTTGCTTTCTATCTCTCTCCTCTCTGGCAGTTCCCCCCCCAACTCTTTCTGTATTTTAATGGCAGCGAGGCCTTGACAGGCTGTGATTGCTTGATAGATAGACAGATAGATATCTCTCGTTGGAGAAGGGTACATGGAAGAAGGGAACAGGGGGCTGAGGATGAGGTGTGTGTTCTGTCGTCCACGGGGACAAGGAGCTCTGTGTGTCTGTGGAGGATGATGGATTACAAAGGGGCCTCTGGCTTGTGTGCGTGTGTGTGTGTCTGTATGTGGGATGTGGGCATGGGCCCCTTTATAGCTTGGCTATGTACACAATGAAAGTATGGCAGTGAATTAATTTCGGCTGCTGGAAAAGGTCATTAAGTAAAACTAATATTTGTGGGAGGGAATCCCCAGGAATTAACTTCAATACCATACACACGACAGTGCAGTGTTCTGGCAGTAAACTGGAGCATTACGTTGCATTGTGGACGAGAGCACACTGGCGTACGCGTGGCCTTCTGTCGGAGAAAAGAGAGCTGAAAAAAAAAATATATATATATATATATATATTTCGGATTAGACATGCCTGTGTGTTTGTGATTTCACATGTATATTATATACATCGACAACTGAGGAAATGTCCTTGGCCACTCTTTGCTCGACCGTCCTTCTGTCAGGGAGGTCGTAGGGGGGTCACGAGGTCAGCCAGCTCTTCCTGTTTAACTCCACGCCGACAATCATCTCGGGGCTGTTACTGATCCGCTGCATTCATAGAGACGCCCCAACTCCAAACTGTGTGCTCGTGTATGTGTGTGTGTGTGCCATGTGTGTGATGTGATACACTGATAAAGTAAGCCCCCGGGGGGGGAGACAGAGTGGCCAGCCACGGCACCGCATCCGTCACTGAGACAAAAACCACACCGGTCGACGGCAGCAGAAGACAGAGAGCTTGCATGAGGGGGGAGACCTTATCATAGCTGGACACATTCCACGAAGCACAAAGACAAAAGAGGCCAGGTGAACCAGATCACTGCAGCGTGTGTGAGCAATATGTGTGTGTGTGTGTGTGTGTGTGTGTGAGTGTGTGTTTTAGGGAGAGAGAGAGAGAGAGAGAGAGTTTGTCAGTGATGAATTTGAGTTTAACGACCTGCACCTTATAGATAAGCGAAGAAATTCATCGGTACAACAGCAACAATGCAACAATGCAAGCTAGAAATAAATACCTAAAGAGCCCTCCAGGCAAACTTCAGCTTCCTTTAGACACAATCTAGAATGATGTAGAGGCTGAAGATGACAGGACAAAGCACTACTTTATTTACTCTTTGTCTCTTGGGGCTTTATTTGTGTTGTTAGTGAGAATCAGTGAGGCTGAATGAACAAACATGTGAAGTCATAGTCATTCATCAGTGAGCTGTACTGGTCCTTTGGTGGCGTGTACTTGTCTACTAATCTGGTGCAACCAGTTGAAATATTTTGCAATTAAAGCCAAAAATGTTTTACCGTGGTCTTAAATTGTGTAACATTTATCATTTCTTAATAATTACTTCACTCAGGCATACCTACAAATGACATTTTTTTTTTGAGAAAGAAGTAGCTCAAAGAAAAATAATATTGACCAATGTAAAAATTGGTTTACCTCACTGTATAAGCATCAAGTTTAATTTCAAGCAGAAAACCCAGAATTTCTCTGGTGCATGAAGACATCTGCACCCATTCCAATCTATTCAAGATGGTAGAATATGAGCTGCGTAGTTTACTCTGCTGCATCACATAACTCGACAAACCCCCTCCCTCAGATGATGTACAGTAGATGAGCTCCTATTCTTTTGAGCTCAGAGGAGGAATTTGCTGGATGAGGGATCTCTCCTTCTTAAAGGACGTGGTTGCATTTCATTAGGGATAAGATTCATCACAGCAAGCAAACAAGAGAGCTGTCATCGCATTCAAAGGAATTCCTACACCATCCTCAACAACGTCTCTCTCTCACACACACACACACACACACACACACACACACACACACACACACACACACACACACACACACACACACAAACAAACACAGCAGATGTTCAAAAGGCACAAAGCAAACAGAAGCTGAGAGCGCTGATTCAGGACACTAAGGGGCATGTCAAGGATGGCGATACTGTGTGATTGCTCATTATTGCGTGCTTCAAAATGACGCATTACTGTGTCAGCGGTAAGAAATCGCAGCAGGCACAACATTTATTTCTGGTTGAACAATGGAGCTGTTCGTTCTCCAGACGCCGCGGCATGTGGGGCCCGGGTGTGCTTCGCCCCGGTCAGAGGTCCGGCGCTCTGTCTGTGAGTGAGAGGACACCCGAGGGTCCATTTTGGAGATGGCTGTAAAGCTCCAGCTCTGACCCTGGGAAATGGCTCAGATAAGGCCTGTATGTAGGCCAATTTGACAGGTCACGACCCTGTCTCAGAGCGAGAGCGACACAGCGGGAGTGTGTGAACACAGCCGGCGGGGGGGCTGGGGGGAACTGTCCCATGATGAGATACTGGTGATATCCAAGTGCATCCCCCAACGCGGCAGCAGTGGCTGTCAGTCTATTGATTCACAGCTCCAAGAACCGAGGAGACGGGGACAAAGTCGGGTTTTGTTGCTGTATGTCAGTGTAGCACGCGGCTAGCAGAGCATTATGTGCCCGAGGACGGCAGGCCTGAAGAACAGCGGACAGAGAGACACGGAGACAGCAAGCCGGGGACCTCGTCCACACCGAATTCAACAGCTGCATTGGGAGCTCAAAAGATCTATTCACCACAGATACACAAAAGTGTAGACACACACACACACACACACACACACACACACTTGGCACGCACTGGACAGTGGCCTGTTTGTGACTCGAGGGAGATAAGAGGGATGCCATGCAAGTTGTGCGAGTTAGAGTGTGGGAGAGCCGAGGGGAGATGTTACCACACATTACTAGACAGCCTGTGTCTTCTAGTGCCTCGGACACAATGATGGCGTCTGTCTGCTGGCAGCGGCACGCCAGCTCTGGTCGAGGCGGCCGACTGAGCGTGGGATGGAGCTGGAGGTGTATGCGAGCGATAGAAGGTAATAGATGGGACTTCAATGAGCGCTTTGATGTTGATATAAACAAGCCACATTAACACAGAAGAGAGACGGAGACAAAGGCACAGAGGGAGAGAAAGCGTGTGAGAGAACCACAACCCTGGAATATTTCTGCATTAGAGAGAAAGAACACAGCGTTCTGAATCACAGAGAGTGTGGAACCCGCCCGCACCCCCCTGCCAAAAAAAAGCGTACATTCCCTATATTTGAAGTCGTACCTCTGTGTGTTAGCAAAGAGTGGGCGGTGCAGAGCATGATTTGACAGCTTATTTTGCAGTAAAGCCCCTGATGGAAAAAGAAGAGCTGAAGAACACTGTAAATATCGTATCCATTTGTTTGTCTATCTATGAACTTATACATATGAACTTTTAGTGCACATTATTTTATACTTTCATGTGGTCAAACATTGTGCCTTAATCCCGACCAAACTTGGAACCTCTAATAGATGCTCTAATAGCGCTTCAGCCGATTGGGTCCCGGTTCTTAGGCAGCTGTACGAATCCGTCTCGCGCCCCAAACTGGTCTCTCCAAGAGAGGTCAGCAGCAGGGACGTCTGCCAGGTGAGAGGCTGACTCGGGGTTTAATCAATGCCTGCCAGAGTCGGTGGTGGAGGGAGGGAGGGGAGGAGGGGGGGGCGGACAAGCGGACGGGGGGGAGACAGGCCGCCATTGTAACTACCCGCCAGAGATAAAACTATTCCTGGTGGGGTTCGCCGGCCGACCGCTGAGCCTGCGCTGTGACGGAGGAACTCACGCTTCACAGCGGTTTAGGGGATTGATTTGACAGCTAATTTACAGAGGAGATTTGCATACGGACATGCACTAATAAGGCAGGCTTTCCTTTTCCGTCCTTTGTCTTTCACCGCTACATCCATCCGCGCGCGCCTTCCTGGTTTGTTTTTCAGACCTCAGCAAATAGTAAGCAATAATATAAGCAAATGAAACAGACAGATTCAAATTGGATATTGACTAACATACTAAAGCCTCGTGTTTTCTCCCGTTAAAGCCTGCGTTTAAATGATTGATCGGCCGTGTCGCTCTCCGCGTCCTTCCGGCTGTGTGTTGAGTTGTGTTTGTGACCGGTTGTGCCTCCAAGACTCCATTGGGCTCAATTCATGTCACAGCATGCTAAGTGCTTTGACACAGCCCCACAAAGAGCCTGCCGATCTGATGCCAATCTCCCCAGGTCTTGGTGTCACCCAGGTGGAGGCTTTCAGAGGAAGCAAGGACAAAGTCTCCTCCTCGACATCGCCGGCACAATGCAGCCTGACTGACAGCAGAAAGGACAAAATGGAGCTCCTCTGTCAAGTGGATGTTAAAGTGGTGGGAGGCAAAGAGCGGAAAAAGGATTTCAGGAGAAGGTGCCCGCGCTGGATTTACAGAGACAATAAGGCTGCTTTTCTGCCTGGAAGTCACAAGATTCACATGAATACTTACCGCTGCCTGTCACACGCTCGTAGATGTTTGCTGTCCGTCACCCGGCTGACGGAGTAGCCGTGCTGGCACCAAAAAATGATTCATAACGCACTCGACGGCTGCGAGCCTCGACGCGCCGACAACACACAGTCGAGTTGGAACTTACTGTTCTTGTTCTTGAACATGCTGAAAACGCGGAGGATTTGTCTGAAGTAGGGCACCAGAGCCTCTCCCACTTGGTCCCCCGACTTCACCAGATGCTGCAGGACTTTCATGGTGGTGCACATCACATCGTGGTTCCTCGTGTTCAAGGCGTCTGGAGGGCAGGACAAAAGGCAAACGGGGGGGGGGGGGGGGTTAGAAGGTTCGACTGCCGGCCTCGTTTTTAGATGTGATTTGCAGCTTGTTTGCAGGTGGAGTGATTCTGACAACCGCAATTATATGGTACATGAGACGAATTACATATAAATCTTAACTCCCACAGACATATCCTTCGCCTTGAAAGAATTTCCCTTACAGCTCGGGCCTTGATTTAGACTGGCTGGTCTGCAATCAGTGATTTCAAATGCACCAGGGAGGCCGCAGTAAGTGAGAGCCAATCACTGGGCTATTTGGCCTACAGCTGCACTTAACTCCATCTCCCACTGATAGAGAGAACAAAGGGAATGATGGCGGTAGGGATGGAGGGCTGCAGAGATCAAGAGAGACATATTCAGAAATAGAAAAAGGGAAGGGGAAGGGGGGGGGGGGGGACAACAAAAGACAAAATGTCATATTGAGAGAGACGAAGAGATGAGACAGTCGGATGTCAAAGGGGGAGAAAATGACCGTGATTAGCAACTAAGACGGACATATTTTTCGAGTTCTTCGTACTCGTGCATGTTTAAGTTTTGTTACTCCCTCGGCAGACTGTCAGCAAACTCCCAGTTAGAAAACGGGCCTGAGCGATTTATCACTATGAAACCTTTGACTGTCAACTGATACCTACTTTCACAAAAAGAGGGTGGTGATGGCATCCCAGCAATAATTACAGAAAGACCGGAAAAGAGAGTGTGAGCAGAAGCACTGGCAGCTTGTGTGACAGAATGTGAGAAAGAAAATAAGTAGAGGGTACATGCCGGAAACCTGAAAGATTTTAATCTGACAAAAAGAACACAACATAATGGAGGTATTTCAAGCATTTGATCAGATTTGTGCCCCAGATACAGTACCAGTCAAACGTTTGGACACATTTTCATCATTGAATTGAAGGAGAAAATGTGACTTTTGTGACCAACCTTTGACCGGTATTGTACATGGCAACTATTTATACAATTTAGTGAAACCTGAAGCACGGAAAGAGTGCCGACATTGAAACGTGTTGACTCTTCAGTCGTGTTGATGACAACAACGCCTGTTGCCACAGGTGCAATAACGCAATAATCATGTCACTGTGGATCCGCCTCTTCAACTTTTGTCCCAAACACCGTACTGAAATCTACAGAGATATATTGTGCGATCACTCAGAGAGCAGGACAATAACTGTTAGCCGCCGTGTTAAAAACGGCTGGCATGCAAACACAAAGCCGTCATAAGCACACAGTCACCCATAACACTCGGGCATGCACAAACACTCAAACACATCCCAAAGCGATGACACAAAATATCAGCCTCAGTCATGCGCACAGGTGGTCGTGAACAGGGCTAGTGGCCAAATGTGAATTGAAGTTACACAATGTGGAAGTCATGCAAACGATAAGTGGCTCACGGTGTTGAAGGGGATTCATCACATTACCATGATACATTTTTGTCTGTGCAAGTATGTGGGAAAATGACTGGGTTGTACCAGCTCCATTGTTTTGTCTATTTGAGAGGCTCTGTGTGTGTGTGTGTGTGTGTGTGTGTGTGTGTGTGTGTGTGTGTGTGTGTGTGTGATGTCTATGCATTGGACCAGCGGCAGTGGAGACGCTGCATTGTGCTCCGTGCCGTCTCTCCATCTCTGCCTCAGCGTCTCCCCAGATAGACGAGCGCGCATATATGTGCCATCACCGAGATAAGGTGGAATGTGGAATGACAGGAATTTCAAACCTACATAACAAACAATGAAATTCTAATTACCAGCCACCGCAAACAATTTCCCCTACTGTGACATTTGGACCGCGGGACTGTTCAATTATTCATTGCCACTCTCGTCTTGCTGCAAAAAAAAAAAAAAGGAGAAAGGGAAAAAAATTAAACGAGGCAGCCGAGGGCCTGATATATTAATGGTGGTATAAAACCTGTGTTAGGACAAATCTGAATAAAGTAATAATCTATTCATGCATGGACCTGTTTCATATTCAGTGTAGAAAGAAAACAGAGGTGACCTTGTATCCTGTTTTCTTGTGAAATGTCAGCGGTAGGGTGACACTTTTGAGAGTTTAGCGGCGAATTGTTCTCACTCGTGGAATAAATCTACTTTTCAGATCAGAAGATGTTCCCGTGCAGAGGCGGAACTGGGGATCTTCGTATAATGAAAGTCTCATTTGGGCGCAAAGCTGAACAAATGTTATGCCAATCAACTGAGGCTCAATAGAAGCATGGCTCTGAATCCCCCTCCCTGTTTAAGGAAGCCAGAAAAAAAATATAAAACCACAGCATTTGAGTTACAAGTAGCCTTTCTTCTTAAGTCACCGGGGTGCTGTTTAGCTGAGCAAGATCTTTTTGCCTTTACCAAAATGTCAGGGTTTTTCAGTTATTATACCACTGGACACTTTAAAAAAAAAAAATCATAGCTATAAGGTGTCTTTTATTTTCTTGTTATTCCTTCTTTATTCCTATTTTGATGTTTAAGGTAGTTTTTCGTGGTTCGATGGGGTGATGGGAACAGGGTGTACAGAGGGGAAGAGTTCAGTCTTTAAGTCACCGAGGACAGCGCCTTAGAGTGTAATGTCAGCCAGAGCCTCCTTCATTGTGTATTCTCGCTGGGCGACCTGCAGTCATCATCAAAATTCACCGGGGCCTGACGTGACTCAGTCGCTGTGCAGATAAGAGCCTGCCAGCCACATTGAAGATGTATTAACGGTAGAGGAGAGAAATATATATCTTGCCATTTTAGACTGCGGACGGCTTTTACTTTCTTCCTCGAATCCACCGTCCGTCCTTCTTCCCTGCTCCACAGGAAAAGTAATTCATCTGCAACAGAGACACGAACTGGAGCTTTCTTGTGGCGGAGAGACAGGCCTGATTTATAATGAACGAAGAAGTTAATAGGGAGCAGGCGGTTTAGAATGCCATCGTCAGTGCAAAGTGCGTGTTTTCATGAGGAGCATAACCATCACTTTTGGTCTGCCCTCCAAGGGACAAATGACCGAAACTGCTGAAGGGTTTGAATTTTTAAACCACTGTCTTTGCGAGTGGCCCGGTGGCTCTGGGCATAATGATAAGTTGTGTATAGTATAACTCTTCTTGAACACATATTTTAACTGTGAAAGGAGGCTGGCAAATCAGGGATCTGTGAAAATGTGGTGTAAAAACAATCTAATCCAAATTAATTTAATAAGTTAACTTAACTAAAACTTTACTTTTTCTAATATTTCCAGTACATATTAGAATATCAGACAAAAACCCAGTAGAAGTCATGCCAACACAAACCAAGATACGTCACACTGTAAGATTTGTAATGTGGTGACAGACTTTGACCCGGGGTCAGTCAGTCACTGGGTCTCCCCCCCCCCCCCCGCACCTCCACCGACGTCCAACACAGATACACAAACAAAGAAGACACACACTCTGACATACACGTACACACCACCCCAACTTCCCGAGACATGAACACTACCCCGGGCTCACTGGGCGCCACTTAAAGGCCCCCACGATGAAACCGACACTCCACTCGACAACGGCGCCAAACAAAAGACATTGTGTGTGTGTGTGTGTGTGTGTGTGTGTGTGTGTGTGTGTGTGTGTGTGTGTGTGTGTGTGTGACTGAGCGTATGTGAGACTGTACTTTTGCAAGTGTGCGGAAATCTTTGAACAAAAGCTACACTCTGCACTCCTCTAACTTCTCCGTACCTTTATCCTCCTCCTGTTCCGTGCACCTCGCTGTAAATTCTGACAGTTAGTCATAAACTTTCCCAACCTGAGACCTGACATTCCAGCCCGTCTGCCAACCTGTGAGCGTGTGAGAGTGTGAGCGTGTGAGCGCGTGCACGCCCCAATAACACGTCACCACATAGCAGCGGGCAGATTAGCGGGCATGCTTTTGGAAACAACCTCTTCCGGGCAAAGGAAAAACAAGGACGCTTCGCCCTGAGGACTAATGTAATAATAGGAACCGTATGACTGCAAAACCAAATTAGGACTTGTCACAGGACTGGCCGTGTGGTAATGTTAGAATCTGTTGTAGCGCAAGTGTGTAAGACAGGTGAGTCCTGTTTCCTGGTAAAGCATGTTGTGCTATTTCGGTTGCACTCTACTGCAGCTAAAATGATTGTATATGTTAATACAATTTAGAAATTGCATATTGCATATGTATATTAATTTTGCCTAAACAAATTCCCTTTCCTAAAGAAGAAAGTGTTCTCATTTGTATTCCAGCAAAATTAATTTTCCTTTTTATAATATCTCATATGAAGTTACATAACATCAGGTTATATATGTTTTTAAGGCTCTAACTAGCTACACTATACGCAACTGAAAATGTCCTCTAGAACTTCATCTGAGGTCAGACAACTTTTTTATGTAATGACGATGTCATCAAAGCGGTAAGGCTGTACCATCACTTGGCTGTCAGACAATTATAAAACAGTAATAACTGTTTAGTTATAGAAAGGTTTGTAAAACTAAAAACTATTAATGGACAGTAGGAACATTCTGCTGGAAATTGAATAGCTCTTGTGTGTTAATTGTGGAGAATCGCTATAATCTTCCTGTGTTGCTTATGTATTTAAGAAATTAAAGTAGTGGCCTAATTTGTTTTTCCTCCTTCCTTTACAGCTATAACCTTAACACTCAGCTATGACCTTAAGAAGTGGCAGGGGGACACAGTGAAGGTGAAATGATATCAACACACACACACACACACACACACACACACACACACACACAGACAGACAGGGTCGCCTGTTTTGTGTGTGTGTGTATGTGTGTGTGAGAGAGGAGACACCCGGCCAGACTCACTCCTGATGGGGATGATGAGCTGTGGGACGACGGGCAGGATCTTGGGGCCTCCGTTGTCCAGCATGTCATGGATTCCCTTGCAGGCGTAGAAGTTGTAGGGAGCCACAGTCTCGCTTAAGCCCTCGAAAAACAGAGGGAGATAGTGGTGGTAGTCCAGCTTCTCAAACTCCACCTGAGAACAAGAAAGCACTATTTACATTACGCACGCTTACTTTAATCCAGAGACACATACAGAGGGAGGAGAGGGGGGGTGGGGGGAGGGGGGGGTTATGTCCTTGGCTCAAGGACATTTGTTGGAACACATGGCAGCTCATCAAGACATAGCAACAGAGGATTAGCTTTTTGTTTACTGCACTGGCCCTCAACGTACCCACTACAGCAGAGATACAGCGGATGAAAATGTTGTGTTCTCCAGGAAATCAGTTACTGCCATTAAGCTTCCTTTAGTGCTTTGCCTCTTCTCTTTGTTTGCCCTTGGCTTAGCATGATATTTCAGGGCCACAGCTCCTCTTGCAGCCATTTATGAACCCTTAGAGTACACACGTACACACACTCGCACAAATACACCCACCCACACAATGGTGGCGGCGACAGCTGTTCGGGGGGGATCATGACACAGCGGCATGTGGCATCTTGTGGGCGGACGTGTTAACACCTGTTTACGCCATTTACAGGACAGACACACAGAGGCGCTAGATTAAGACATTCGTCCAGCTGAGGGCCACAGGCCGGCTTTGATGTCGTTTGGCCGAGTGTGTGGGTGCTGTGTGACACATTAAAGGGAAGTCAGTCCCGTGTGTGTGAAGCCATCAAAGGAGGAGCCACTCAGGCTCACCGGGTTGCAAGGAACAGCTGACCTGAAGCAGGCGGCCCTTGAGCCTTTTGGCTGTTCTGAAAATTATATAAAAGGTTGCATGTAGCCGAGGCTCGTGCAATATCTGTTTGTAGTAGACGTGGCCGCAGCGTGCTGATTTCTAACAGCGGTTTCATCTGCAGTACTGCGTCCCAATGGCACAATTGTTGAGATAGGGGTTAGAGGTCGAATGGGCGATTCTGTTTTTCATGTAATGAAAGGTAATCCCTTTGGTGAGGGGGCAAATAGCCCCCCGGCAGCCAGCAGCCCTTGACGACAGCTGAAGCCATAAGGAGACGGTCTGATGTCCACACACACACACACACACACACACACACACACACACACACACACACACACACACACACACAGGCATCCTGCTGGGTCACACTGGTCTTTGCTGAAATGTCACCCTGGCAATGGCGCTCGGTGCTTTTAAGTCCCCGGCCCTCGCCAGGCCGTGGGTCAGAGCAGAGACTTCAAAGCAGCCCTCCGCACCGTGGACCCCCCCCTCCCCCCGCCCCTTCCTGTGTAAACGCAGAGATGGACGAGGAGAGGAAAAATATGGAGAGATGGAGAGATGACAAGATGGCGACGGGGCTGATTGCTTTGAGGCAATTTGCCGGCCAACCTTGACCTTTTCCCTGCGTTTGCTCAAGATCATCGTTGTGAGTCAGAGCGGACTGGAGACTGGAACAAAAGCAAACATGAGCCCAGTGAGAAGGGGAGCGCAGGGACTGGGGGGGGGGGGCTCGCCCCGGGGGGAAAAAAAGGGAGATAACACTAACGCGCAGCTTAGCTGGCACGCCGATGGCAAAGACACACAGGGACGGATCGTACCACAGTGTTAGATGTCTTTCATCCACATTATAAACAACACTGGCCCATGTGATTACACTTTGGGAAAGGGGAATGCATTCAATTAACTGAATTCCGTAATTGATAAGATGATTAAAATAGTTCAAATGAAGAATGCAATTGAGTTAAAGCTGAAAGGAACTTAAGACAGAAAAGTAATGTCACTAAACGTAATTTAACTTCACAGTGAAGTTTTCCGGTGTGCTATACTGCCAGATATGGAGACAGACAAACATTTCATTATATTACGCAGATGTACAGGAGTTCAAATAGCTTTTTAATGGTTTTGTGTAAAGATACACTTATAGAAACTATGCCTAAGCTAACTCCAAACAGTAGAGTCAGTAATAGTCTTATTTAACACAACCAGGTCTCACCTGATGCGAGACCTGATCAGGTCTCACATTTAGGCACAGACACGATCTCACCTACCCTGTTGTGAACCTGAGATGTTGTGTGAGTAATTACCTGCGAGCATTAACGTGGTGTTGTTGTGAAGATGCCTCTGAACTTAATCCAAATCCCATAAACAAGCACTTAGGGACTGACTGAAGATTCCAGTTAGCACTGAAGGAGTGGAGACAATCAGCAAACACCTTCACCTATTCACGTTCTTACCCACACACACACATTCCCGGGGAATCTTAATCAGCGCCTGCACTCAGCGGTAACTCTTGCATCCGTTATCGATTGTCCGGCCAGCTTTGTTTGTCTTTGGGGGCCTGTGGGAATCCCCCTGGCGTCCGGGGAGTCAATGTGAGTGGGGCAAAGAAAGACTCGCCCAAGTAGCAGCAATTAGCCTCGGGACACAAACCTGCGTGTCTCCTCTGGGCAGCGCCGCGGCAACAGCGGAGACCCCTAGCAACGGCCTGCTCGTTAAACGACATCATCGGAGGCACAGGAGGAACGAAAACAGCAGGTAGCCAATTTAGATACACAATAGCTGGCCACCATTGGTGCGTGTGGGTGGAGGGATGTGTGATACGCGTGTGTGTCTTGTCTTGAACGCTTAAATGCGAGTCCACTTATACCCTATATAACTCATGCTAGTTTGCCTGCTCGGTGTGAGTCAGTCACTGTAAAAATCCCACATACGTTTGCTGTGGACTATATCTAATTGTCACAACTAGTTATTCCTCTCCCATCACACAAAACTAAATCTTCACCGCTCAATCAGTTGGTCGTAGCAACGGGAAGTGGGATATCTTTGGTTTAGAGGTGTGTATTTATATAAAATACTTGTTTACGTGTTTACATTTCTAAAAGGCGATGGTGCTATTTTAATTGATGACGCTATTATGACTCGGATTTAGCTTCGCGTTCGCAGGTTTCTGTATTTAGATGAACTGGCAGATGAGCTGCCGTCAGTTATTCCAGCCTTGTGAGAAGAGGCTTCCTATTGGTGCCACTCGCACCATGAGTCACTCTGTCACTATGCCCAAACACACTTTCGTTCTGCTGAAAATGCATCATAGAAGGCCAAAAAAGGAACGCAGGAGTCACGTGTAGACAATGGAGCATGCGTTTTCAGAGATTTTCCAACTCATTAAAAGGGCTGCATGCTACTGGCAGGCATGAACCAGCAGGACGTATAAAATAACAAAACATCAGTCACCAGTGTGACCGTCATTTTATGACAAAACCAGCCACGCTGCTGCTTGGAGAAATCATGTCAGTTTCTAAATCACAGTCAGCGTATTCCAGATCTGTGCAAGTTCTGTCCTAAAATAAGAAATAAGTGAAACCACACCGGGATTTGTCTGTTTCTGACATCCAGGTTGGCTTTATATTGCAGTTGAGAATCAATAACAGCGTGCCGGGATGTAAGAGCGGCCCTCGCTTGAATATTGATGCCACATTATGCCGTATTGAAATAATAATTTAGGGTGGAACAATAAGAAATGATAATCCACAATGTATGTTTTAATTTTACGGCTGTAGGGGCCGGTGGTGTTAGATTAAGGTAAAGGAAGCACACCATGAACCGATTCAATAAGTGGCAGCTTAAATCACCGTGAACGAGACACCAACTTTGCGGATACCAATGTCCCGCTTATTAATCTCTCACATGAATAGTTTCCGCTCCATTAAATGTATCTTCAGGCTGCACAAACCGTCCATGAGGCCTGCCTACAGTCTCCAATATGTGCAGCTGGAGACATCACAGTTTGTACCCCGAATCAACTGGGAATCAGGAATGATATTGAGCTCCAGATTTGAGTCATATTGTGAAGATGATTTGGTTTTCTAAAGCAAGTTTTGTCAAAATGTTGCTGTCCTGATGTTAAGAAACTGATGGGTCGGTGGAATGGTTGAAACCTTCAGTGAGGGATGTGTGAGCGTCGCCGTATCTTCAACGAGGCCAACCTCACTACAGGTTGCTGCTGAGGTGTGTCAGATTATTACTTTCAATAAAAAGGAACAACAATCGACTGACTGATCAAATCGAGTGTCATACAAATTGATTCAGGTTGATGTGAGGTTTCGCTGCAGAAACAAATGCTGTTGTTGTTGACATCTCCCCAACTAAATTAGGAAAATAGCAGAAAAACAAGTACTTTGTTGTGTTATACTTGACAAACAAGGATGTACATTTTGCTTTTCCTTTCCAATCTAAACCAACAAGAAAAATGCAAGAAAAAAAATAGTTTGCAGAGATGCTACACCTCCTGCACACAGATTCAAATTTCACTTATACAGATGCTTCTACAGTACGACCTCACATACATTTTCCGAAATCACGGCGGACACGGATTCTTTTTTCATCTCAATCCAACTGTACCACAGGTGCAAAGCACCCCCCCGGCCACAACATTTCAAAAAATCTTTGACCATTCTGAGAGCACTCACTGTGGAAACAATAAAGGAAAAGAAAAAAATAAAAGGAGAGGAAAAAGGAGCAAAAGAACAGACTATGTTGACTTTTGTGGAGGTCACAATAAGAGGGAGCAGGACTGGAATAGGCAAGCGATAAGTGAAGGGAAGAGGAGTGAGTCACTCTCGCTATCTTCCCCGACAGCTGTTTCCATCTAACAGGCATGCAAATATGCTCAATTCAGAGCAATAGTAGTAGAGCGCAATGTGTCAATTGAAATGATAGCCAACACAAGCTGGATTAGACCATTTTGGGGCTTCAAAGGCAGTTCAGCACCAGGACACAGAGAGTTATACATTTTATGTGAGCCTACCGCACACACACACACACACACACACACACAAACACAACACAGAGATAAAAAGAGTATTACTCACAGTCGAGCCAGCGGTCTCAAATGGTTTATTGAGGGTTTAAAGCAGGGGGGTGTTATTAGAGTAACAAACATTAGCCAGAGTAATTGAAACAGTGACTCTGCAGAGTTCATGTTGCGATTGTGCTTCTGTTAACTAACGCTGTTGTCGAAGATGAAGGAAAAACCCTGGAAGACGATTCGGCTGAAAATGAGAATTTCACACCGGGGGGG